TCTTAGCCGAGCAAATCCAGTCACCAGCACCTGGGCTGGAGGATAAAGAAGAAAAAACTTGTAGCAGAACCCTTTTTTGCGCTAGGAAGTTGAACAGTCAGCTTTCTTGTAGCAGAACCCTACTCGGCAATGGAGACTAACCGCAGCACTAGAGAATGCTTCCTCTTCCTTGTCTTCGAGCATCAGGACTATAGCTTCTAAGTGGAGAGAGACCTTAGCTGGTTGTTTTCCAGGCCTGGTTGGTTCCGCTCTGATACCATGTTGAGCAAAAGAAGAAGAAGAAGAAAGGAAGGAAGAAGAAGAAGGAGAAGAGAAGAGGTTGCAGACTTAAGGCCTCAAAAGAACTGCTTCATGTGAGTGAAGCATTTGTATTTATACTATACTGGCCGTACAACACAAGAGATCTACAAAATTACAAAAATACCCCTGCGGGCACTAAACCTGTGCACAGTACATACAATACATCTGTCAACAGCTGGCAATGATAGCTGAAAGCTTGATACATTCACTATCTTGGTGAGGTTGTAACATAATCACTCACTTCAGTTTCTCTAGATGTTTTTTTATTAGGTAGCCAGTATTCATCAAGGCATCAACTGCTCTAAAAGACTAGGAAGAATATACAAACCTTTTTTATGCCTTCCCAGTTTCCAAGCCTAGAATATACATTCTGATGTCTGCAGGAAAAGACTAATGTTATAGGTAGACAAGCACCAAATGCTAGGATGGAAACTGTGTTAAATTGCATAGCTAATTTTAAACTTGTTCTGAATACAGAGTGGAATTGCGTAATAGAATTCTCAGTTTATTATGAATTTATTGAAACTCACACCCTTCAAATGGTTAAAAGAGTATTGTAGACATACAGTTCAGCATAACCTTGAAGGCCAATTGTAAGAGCTCTGTCATAGAATTTCTGGACAAGCCTGCGAGAAATAAACCTGTCACAGATCTGCAAAATAGGAAAATTTTAATGTCTGAGGATGTTATAATAATACCCAAAAATAGAATGTTATAATCATATAGAGAAAACTGGTGATATCCTCTGTATATTACAGGGGTTTGACCCTTTATTGTCAACTGAGCATCTAGACAGAACTGTTAAAATAATTTAAGGTTGTAGGAATAAAATATGGCCAGTTGTTAAACTGGGTTTAATATTGACAGTAACAGAAGTTTCTTTTATTCAGTTAGAAAAGATTATATTGAAAGAAAAGGAAAGGGCACTTGACACATAGGTGGAGCATAAAGAAATAACTCAAGTTGAACTTTGATGGATGTAGCATTGGAAACCCGAAACCATCAAGTATAGATGATGCATAAAGTAATGGGAAAGGTGAAGTCTTTGCAATCTTTGCCAGACCAATCAACTCAAGGGATTCCATTAGAGCTGACATGCAAGTGATACTGCAAAGTTTATGATTGGGGAATTCTTGGGCTATAAGAATGTAATAGTGGAAGGGGATTAAAAAATAGTGTTGGATTAGCTGGAGAGTAACAATCAAGGGTTACGCCAGTACTGATATGTTACGAGGGAGATAAGAAATTTAACAATGAAATTGGAGGCTAATTTTTCATAAGCATCAAGGCCAGCTCATAGCTGTGCTGATGCTCTATACAAGAAGGAGGCACACAGGAATCAGTTATTTAGAGCAAATGTAATCTAAACAACAAAAGGGGTTGAAAAGGTTAGGCCTTCACCAATTTTGGAATGCTTCGCATGTTGTAAATAGCTTATTATTATTTTATAATAATCTAATAAAATTCACAGTTATCATTCAAAAAAAGATTGAGCAGAGAAAACTGAACTGATCTGGGTGTGCACCTTTTCATTCATAATTAGCCATTTACATATAAACTGAAAATGAAAGAAATACCCTTGCTGCCATATTAAATGTATAAGACAGAAAATAATAGTAAAACTAAAAGATAACTAAGACTGTCAACATTCTGAAATAAGCTCTTCTCATCCATCTGATAAGACATCATGGCTTTCGGACTAAACACAAAAGTAAAAGTTACATTATTCCCTATAAAGTTATAGAACTAACCAAAAGGTCCCAAGGAGAGCAAATAGCTACAGCCCCAGCAATAGGAGTATTCTCCCCATCTTCTCCAAGATATTTCACCTGAAAACAATTGTCCAATTCAAAAGTGAACCATACAAATCAGACTGTCAGCAGACCCAGGTATAGTAACAAATGCCAAACTAACAGAAAGGTGTGCTATATAATTGCTCAATGCTACATTGTTTATGAAATATTAACTATGAAATTGGGAGAAATTGCTATTAATTTGTCTATTTTAATATGTTATCCAAATACAGAAAGGAAATAGCAGAACAGTAAGGAACTTTTACTAAAATTACATATCAGACATAGTTGTAAATCACACCTGCAATAATCTCAATTAAAAGAAAAGAAACAGGAGAAAAGGAGATTGAAGAGAGAGAAGTGATGGGGGAAGAAGATGGAAGAAAATGAAGAAGAGAGTAATTTAAAACCTCTCTTCAGCCCCCAATGATCTCTTTTATTCTTTTGTTGTAAAAAATAACGACAATTACATGAATGCCCTTAGTAGGGCATCCATCACTAAAGACAGCAATAGAAAACAATAAAAAAAGAGAAAACAGGCCTATAACCAAGGCCCACTACCTACTAACATAAGTCATAAACATAATTTAAAAGAAACAAAGAAATTAAGGCCCATTCATCCCATTATCTCTACACTCCCCCTCAAGCTGAGCATAGATATCAATCATGCACAGCTTGCTTACACAATGTTGTAACTTTTCCTTGGGGACATCCTTGGTCAGAATATCTACTAACTGTTGCTCCAAAGCAATAAAAGGAAGGAAAACTTCTCTGGAAGCTACCCTTTCTCTTATAAAATGCCGGTCAACTTCAATATGTTTTGTCTTATCATGCTGAACTGGGTTGTAAGCTATGTTTATCGCAGCCTGATTATCATAGTAAAGCACTAAGGGCTTATCATGTGTAATACCCATCTCCTCTAGAAGTGACCTGAGTCAATGACAACTCTTAAGCTCCATGTGCCATTGCCCTATACTCTGCCTCATCCGAAGACCTAGCTACTACTAACTATTTGATACTCCTCCAGGAGACAATGTTCCCTCCCTACAACCAAGGCACAAAAACCCGGTGTGTCCATGCCTAGAGAAGAGGACACCCATTCTGCGAGTTCCCTTCAAGTAACACAGAACTTGTTCTGCAGCAGCCATATGTGCGTGTCTAGGGGCATGCATAAACTGACTGATCACACTAACAGCATATGAGATATACAATCGTGTCATGCAAAGGTAACAACAACTTACCCAAAAGTCTCTAGAACACTTCCCTGTCTGCTGAAAGCTCATCATCATCAGCTGAGAGTTTATGGTTAGCATCAATAGGTGTAGAAACAGGTTTGGCACAAAGTTTCYCAGTCTCCATGAGAAGATCTAACACATACTTCCGTTGGAAAATGAAGATGCCACCTTTAAACCTAGCAACTTTGGTTCCCAGGAAATATCTCAATTCCCCTAATTCCTCTATATCACTCCCTGTAATGACAATATCATCAACATAAACAATGGTACCATCAACATGATTCTTGATAGTTAACACCTGTGTACATCCCACTGGTTCCTTCCCAAAAATCAAATCCACAATATTCCAGGTAAGATTTTTACAAAGTGCGTATATTTCAATTCTCATAGCCTCCCCCTATTCTGGCTTAGACAAGGCCTTTGTAACGGACTTGGGTATAAGTTGAGAAGAGGTGGAGGATAAGAAAGAATAATAAGATGGGGATAATAAGCTATAAGACAAGTGTTTGGAAATACAATGTGTTGTACATTTCCTCTTACCTTTTCTCACAGCAATAGGTAGGTTCATGTCTAGGAAGGGAGGTTCTGGAGTAGGCAATGAAGGACTTATCCTCTCTTTAGGGATTGAGAGTGTCTAAGGCTCAACTGTAGATGAGGGAACAACCTCATGTCGTAGCCTTTGTCTCTGGTACCACCTCTAAACGATAGGATGAGTAATGAAAACTAAAGGACTAGTAGGAGGAAGAGGAGCAAGAATAGTAGAACTGGGAGACGAAGGCTTTGCCACTAGAACAAAAGGAACCATAGGAGACTCAACCTTAGGATCAACATGAGAAGGCAAAGGAAGTGGTGAAGAAAACAATTAAACAGAATGCTCCCCCTCGGAAAAATGACCATAAAATGGAAGTGACTCGGCAAAGATAACATCCATAGAGACAAAAGGAGTTCCACTAGTGGGATCAAAACAACAATAGCTCTTTTGTGTGGAGGCGTACCCTAAGAAAATGCACTTTCGGGCCTTGGGTTCAAACTTATGCCTCTAAGAGCTAAGGACATGAACATAACACGTGCACCCAAAGACATACAAGGGAATAAGAAACAATTCAATCTTAGGAAACATGGCAGCAAAGGGAGATTTAAACCCCAAGACTCGAGAAGGCATGCGGTTAATAAAGTAGGTAGTTGTCATCGCATCACCCCAAAATCTCACTAGAACATGGGGGGAAAAAGTAATTAAAACTATCTTCTTAAAAAGCAATTTTGTTCATTCATTTATCCTAATAAAATATCTTCTTAAAAAGCTTCAAGAATCCCCTTTTCGGTAATGTTGCTCATTCATTCATCCTAATAAAATATCTTTTTAAAAAGCAATTAAAACTATAAAATCATTATTTTTTGTGTGAGAACTAAGAATTTAAGACCCCAACATGGACTTGTTTGGACTCGCCTTGAGGGGTGTGGCACAAAGGCGGCACGTAGAAGTAGGAATGTAATTTGTCACATACTCACATTTTTTTTTTATCAATAACACCAGCTTCATTAAATTAAAAGAAAAGAGGGAATATGGATACAAGAGGGGAGATAAAATATCTTAGCTCCCCAAAAACAGAAAACAAAGGGAGTGCAAAGAGAAAAGATTAAAAACTAGCCCAAAAAATAGACTCCCTATTCACACCTTGCTTGGCCAAGCCATCTACAAATGAGTTGGCACTCCTCTTCACCCAGCTATACTGAATCTCAATGTCCCTACCCAGCCATAAGAACTATTTTTTTTTTCATAGTTAAAGTTACACAAACCACTGTCCTCTGTCTTCAACCAACTAACCACCACCTTCGAATCACCTTCCAGGTTCAAACGACTGATATTTAATTCCTTTTCTCTTCGAATTCCTTCAAGCGCTACAAGGATCTCAACCCTAAGAGAGTCACCTTCTCCAATAGGGCCAGAGAAGAAAGCAATAACAATCCTTTCCTCATTCCTGAAGACTCCTCCAATCCCAGAGGGCCCTGGATTCCTTACACTACTACCATCAAAATTCAGCTTTATAAAGTCCGAGGGGGGAGGGGACCAAAACGGACAAAGAGTCCTCTTGCATCTAGCATTGGAAGCAATCTCTCTCCAGTTTCTTAGCAAATCATCCATAGGAAAATCTGAAAACAACTCCAAAGATTTTAGCCAGTGGACAGCCCTTAAAAGGATTCGATCTAACAATTCTTCCAATGTTCTTTCATTGCCGAAAAAAATGCATGAATTTCTTTCTTCCCACAATGACCAGCATACTGCTGCCCTAATACACCTCCACATAATCTTCCCTCGCTAACTAGGCCAACTGAAAAAAGGAGAAAACAAACCTTGGATAGTCTTCGGAGGATACCAAGAAGACCCAAAGTAGGAGAAAACCCACTCCCAAACAGTTTTAGCAGCCTTCCAAGAGATCATGAGGTGGTAGCCAAATTCCCCATCAGCTTTACAAAGAGTACATCTATTAGGAAGTAGACAATAGTTGGGTCTCTTTCTCTAAAGTAAGTATAAAGTGTTGATTCTTTCTAGGAAAATTCCCCAACAAAAAAAACCAACCCAAGGAGGAATAGGCCTGTTCCAAATTTCCTTAATCGGAAAGGACAACCCAAAGGGATAGGAGCCTGAGTTAAGGTTTCATAGAATGAAGCACAAGAAAAGGTACCAGAGCTGTCACATACTCACATTAGCTACTTGAAATAATGTAATTGAGAAAAAAAGAGATTGTGGGTTTTATATGCTTGAAAATGTTTTATATGTTTGGTTTTATTTTTAAATTCTCATTTGAACATGCTTTACTTGTTATGTTTATGTATTTTAATTTTAGATTATAGGTTTTCTAAAACATTTATTTTAAATTTTAAGTTTATATTTTATTAATATTATGTTTAATAATTTTTTTATTTTTTTTTTGCATTTTTGAATTTTTTGGCATTTTTTTACTTTTGCGCCTTACTTAAAAAGGCACGTGCCTCACCTTGCACCTTGCACGAGTGACCCCTACGCTTTTAAAACACTGCATCAAACTGAAAAATATGAAAAGGAACTGTAAATCTTTAATTACTTGCAAAATAAGGGTTTCTACAACGCTTTGACAACTCGCACGACTTACAATGTAGACTTGACAACTTAGTTCTTTAAACAATGTTGGAAACAAAAGATTCAACGAAGAAAAAGAAATATGACCCAAACAATAATGACATTACATGATACAACTGATTGACTTTGACACATTTGAACCAAAAGCTGCTCTCGGAGGTGATACTTAACTTTGTCTAGGCATGTCTAACAAGTATATCCCATTCACTTCATGGCAACTCCCAATCACCTTCTGAGAGTCCATGTCCTAAAAAACACAATTTGAAGGGAAAAAGGTCATACTACAATTCAAAAATTGTCAAATTACTAGCTGAAAGGAAATTAGTGTTTAATTTAAGAACATGAAGGACTCAGGATAAGGTGAGGGTGTCTGAAGCTTTGATGTTTCCCTTGCCAGAGATAAGAGCAAGAGAGCCATCAACAAGGATGATCTTATCTCGACCAGATAAAAGTTGGTAAGTAGAAAATAAATGGAACACACTAGTCATATAGTTAGAGGTACCAAAATCAATTACCTAAAATAGAAGCATGATTCACAGTAGCATGAATACCTGAATGGGCATATGCAAATGAAGGGGGAAATATCTCTAATGAGGTAGGTGTTGTAGCAGTAGACTCCAGGTGACTAATTATTTGGCCATACTTCTCATACTCATACCTGGCGGTTGCTAGTTGCTCTCCCACTAACTTTCACCACTATACCTCCATTCACTCAGTAAGGAGGTGGCTACATTTTCACTTCCACCTTTCCCATTCTCATTCCTTTTTCCACTGTTTGCATTCTTGAGTCTAGCAGGTATAAGCTCTGGATGCAGCTTCCAACATGTGTCTTTAATATGTTTAGGCTTCATACAATATTCACAAACATCTTTCTTCCCAATGCTGACCTTCGGCTTCATCCCAACATTAGCATAGTGATCCATCTATGGCTCTACAAACCAAACCTCCCTTGTGATCTCCTCACCACTACCATAGCATAAGCCTGAGATAAAGTCACCTTCGCCAAAACATTCTATCTCACAACATCATACTCCAGTTTGAGTCTGGTAAGGAATTCAAAAACCCGACTTCCACCAGCTTCCTATGAGCTTCAGGATCCTTTGTACACCCCCAAACCAGAGTCTCCATCAAATCAAGCATGGAGAAGTATACGGCTAAGGGTTTGTCCCCTACCTTAAATTATTGACATCATTCTTTAATTTGTAAGCCCAAACAACACTCTATCCACAAGTAATGCCGGCTAATATATGGACAGATAGAATTTGCTAACCAACCCACTACTGTGTAATTCTCCTACATCCACCTCTTATAGGTAGGATCGTCCTCCCCCGATTTCTTCTTGCTCGCAGTGATGTAACCCCATTTCCCTCTACTACACACATGTATCTTAATAGACTGAGACCAGGCTAAATAATTGGTCCCATCTAGCTCCACAATAGTGACCAGCCCAAAAAGATTCTCAATTGACCACCCATGTCCAAACCCATAATCTATGGGATATTTGGATTCTCCTCTAGTTTGCTCTATTGAGTAAAATAGAGATCAAAATAAGTCTCAACTAAGCTAGAATTGCTATCCCAAGCAAAAAACTACTCTTCCAACAACCAAATCTAAAGTTTCACAGGACCCACCCAAATGGGAGAAAATGAGAAAGTTCAACCACTCCTACCAGAGGTTTCAGAACCCTATCCAACTCAAATCACCCTTAATGAAAATCAAAAGGCTACCCTTTGATCCCCTAGTACTAGCTTCAAAGTGAATGTAGGACTTTTAACTAGCTGTCTTCAATTGTCTAGGGTTTTTGGGAAAAAACTCCAAGAACCTGCCTTGGGCTTCAATTGGGGATGAAAAGCTTCACAAAACCTCTCCAAAAGCCATCCCAACTGGACTACATAAGTTGCTCCCTAATCAGCCCATCAATTCTCCATACACACTGTGTATGGGCAAAGAGAGAAGAAAGAAACAAAGGTGAGAACCTACTCTAATACCAAGTTGTAAATCACACCTGCAATAATCTGAATCAAAAGAAAAGAAACAGGAGAAAGAAAGAGATTAAATAGAGAGGAGTGATGGAGGAAGAAGATGGAAGAAAATGAAGAAGAAGAGAGAATAGTTCAAAACCTCTCTTCACCCCCCAAAGATCTCTTTTATTCCTTTGTTGTAAAAAATAAGGACAACTACACGAGTGCCTTTAGTAGGGTGTCCATCATTAAAGACAACAATAGAAAACAATAAAAAAGAGAAAACAGGCTCATAACTAAGGCCCACTACCTACTAACAAAAGTCATAAACATAACTTAAAGAAAAGCAAAGAAACTAAAACCCATTCGGCCCATTGTTGCTACAGGTAGATGACCTGTTTAGAAAATCAAGGTAATATACATATTCCAAGCAGGTATTATCAACAACCAAATAATCAATAGGAACTGTTTCACTAAATCAATAGGGGCTGCTGACAAAATAAATTCAAGCATTGTGAACTGAGAAACATTAACTTCTTTTATTTTTAAATTTCAATCAATGATTCAGATGGCACTTTTACTCTAGATGACAGATTAGAAACTGCATAATAATGGGTAACAGGATAAAAGAGAAGTTACAAGATTCCATCTGAACCATTTTCTATAATCTAAAAATTCAATATAATACTTGTTAAGCTATTTTGACTCTACCACTAGTTAAGGGTGCTGTGATGCCAATTTTTAATTAGAGATCTAGAGATCTACACAAAAAAAAAAAGTATAATTGACCAAAAGTACAAACCAAAAATTAAGAAGTTGTCATTGCAAATACTGCCCCTTGAATTTCTTCTTCCATGTCTGTCTGCACCAATTTGGTTACAGGATGATACATAAATTAAAAGTTGGAGGAGCTATTTCCAAAACTCTTACATGAAACCATTTTAGGGATACAGAGATAAGACAAATAGTAATCTCTAGAAAGTTTAGGAACAAATTGTAGCATAGAAAAGTATCTTTTTTATCACTATCAGGGAAATAATTCACATAATTAAAGTGCTAAAAAGGAAAATGAACCAAAAAATATTGGTAGTACAAACCAGAATATTGGCACCAATGCTAGTTCCAACAGCAAATAGAGGGGCATCTGGATATTCATGATGAAGATACTCGATAACTTTTCGAATATCTTCCGTCCATCCCGCATTATAGAACCAATCAGACTGACCAATTAGTAAATTAGCATTAAGAAATTTTGCATTCATAAGTGAAATGAGAAGAAATGAAAAGAATCCACATAGAATTTTGCATTCGTAACTGAGATACCTTGCTGACAAACTAAAACCAAAAGTTGAGGCAGAAAAAAAGAATCCACGTAGAATTTCAGGGATTGATTGAACGAACAGAAATACACGAACAGAATTCAATGAAGTACTTAGGAATATTATAAAAGGAAGGACCTAAACATTTCCCAAATCTACACTAAAACAGAAATATTATGCATTAAACTAAAAAAATAGCTACAGAAATCAACATATGAAAAGAATTACACATGGGTCATAGTCGGGACCCGTGCCATGCATGGGTTTGTTAAGCAAAATTGAAGCCAAAGGTGCCCATGAAATTTAAGTAGAATTGTAGATGAACATGGGTCAAGTTCATCCTGAGCCACCCAACTTATGGATGGCTCAGTTAGTATGCCAACTGGTTGTGGCCACCATTGTGTAGTCCAATTAACCATAGAAAAAAAAAAGTTCCTGGGCTGGATTTGATAGTATACTAAAAGTTTTTAAGGCTGCCCTTGCCTGGCCCAGCACACACTACAAGCTAATATTTGATAGTATGTCTACAATCCTATCCATGTTAATTATAAAACAATGCCTTTCTACAACAAAATTTTTATTTAATTTTAGTCAATTATAGAAAAATATATAAAAAAATTAGCTATATATTAATATGTAATACTATATATCTATATAAAATTCGTTATCTGGCATATGTATATAACTTCCTAGTCAAGCTTAGGAGTTGCTTAGCCCAGACCAAGCACACATTATGTGTGGGCTTGGTGCGGGTCTAAGGTAGGCCAAGCCCAAAAGAAAATAGTTGCTTGAGCTAGGAAATTTGTAGGTCTAATCAAGCTGGGCTAGGTTACAAATGATCATCCATAAGTAAAAGGAGCCTTATGACATTTCCAATTGAGAAATTAGTATTTTTATTATTTTAATTGATTTTTATTACTTTAATATAAAATGCAAATGGTTTGTTTTATTACTTTTAATATTTTTTCTTTTTATTATTAATTTTAATTTTCTAATAATATTAGTCATTTTTAAATGGAACTCAAATGTACTTTAATTTTAATTTGTGAACTAATAACTTTTATTAATTTCTTAGTTTTAATAATTGCAAGATAAAAATTTCTTAAGTTTAATATTTTTTATTAACTTTAGTTATTAGATTTCAAAATTATAATTTTCCAATAATTAACCAATTAAACAGAATTGAATATAAAACAAATAAATGGAATTTGAACGAGAGTAAAATGTTGAATACAATAAGCTAATAATGGAAGAAGCCTGTAGAAATATGCTAAAATAGGTTAATGATGGAAGAGGTGGAACCTAGGTCTAAGAATTCTCTCTCTCTCTCCCCTAACAAATGCCCAAGAGGATAATAACTCTTGCCATTCAAAATTGTTGAAATGCCAACAATTAGTGGGACTCACTCATGGTTAGTTATTTTTTGTTCTCTCTCTCCTAACAAATGCCCAAGAGGATAATAACTCTTGGCATTCAAAATTGTTGAAATGCCAACAATTAGTGGCACTCACTCATGATTAGTTATTTTTTGTAATATGATGTGGAATAAAAAAATAAAATAATTCAAAAAAGGCTATATATATATACCAAAATATCCCTTCATGTCCAACTCGAGCATTATTCTTGGGTTATTTAAGTATTTATGATGTTTTTATCAACTAATTTTTAAACTTTTATTTGTTTGCAAGCCTAACTAGGCTTATGCCAAGTTTTGAATATATATATATAATCTATTTGTAATAAATTTATATACTATAATGTATTATATCAATTTAGATTATATATATATATATATTATTTATTTACAATATATATTATTAAAACAAAAAAAAAACCAAAGAATCGAGCAAAATAGTGCAATTGATTCGATTCGGTTTCAATTCAAAACAATGCAAAAAACAAAAGTGATCAATTTGATTTAAAAAATATGCCCATGGTCTGGTTAATCAAACCATGAGCAACCCTATTTAGGCCCAGGCTTGGCCCTAAAATTTGTGGGCCTAATGCAGGCCCAAGCCCAAGCCAGGATGAAATGACCACTCCTAAGCAAATTGCATTTGGTTTATTATTCATTTTCTCAAAGAAAAAAATAGAGAAAAAGAGAATGAATTTTAAGGAATTTAATGGAGTAATTAAGAGAGAGAATTAGTGGAGTGAGTTAGCAGATGATAGAGTTAATGGCATGATTAATGAGGAAAGATAATCAAAGGTGTTAATAAGAAAGAGAAGAGAGAGTTAATGATAGTTAATGAGGAAAAATGAAAGTGTTAAAGTTGATTGGCTACTTGTGTTATTTTGTTCAATTTTAAAAATTAAAAGTTAAAAAATATATACAAAATAGAGAAGGGTGGGGAAGCGATAAAGTATAGAATTGTATTAGCTTCAAATTTGTGTGATAGAAACATCAATCAATATACATGGGAGGAATACACTAGGAATATACAAAATAGTGAAGACACCATAGAGATACATCAGAATCTAAATCTCCATGAATATAATCTTATGGTGCATCCTAAATATCCTTAAATTTAATGTGTCTGACCACATTCTAGAATATGAGTACAAATACAAGAACAGTGCCATGTCTCTACAGTCAACAACCATGAAATCGATTCATCATATGCTAGTTGAATTTTGACAAGTACAAAAATAAGCAATTGAGGTCATGTTTATAAAGTGCTTCTAAGGGATCTAATCTCAAACTTATAAAAAGCTTATAACCAATAGCTATAGAGATCTTTGAAATTAGATGGAACTTACAGTTATTGAAATGCCACCTAATCCCCGATGGTTGCTAACTACAACATTCCATCCGTGACTTGCCATCACGAAGACAAGATGCTTTATATACTGTAACACATTATTATGATATTAAAAGAGAAAAGTTTAAAACATTTAATCCTATAGTATATGCGACAGATTCAAAATGACAAAATTGAATTAACATGAAGAAAAAAAATAAGGAATTGCAGTTCCTAGATTCTTATAGTCATGTCTTCATTCGAAATTTACATTCCACATGAACATTCCTTTGTGCTTTGTTCTGCATGTACAAGGTTACATAGGATCATCACAAAGATGGAGCAACAACAAATCCGCATTACATTATTAGCCCTAGAACCTATTTCTGTATCAAAAGTGGCAATAGCCTTGATGTGATAAGACATTATCACATTAAGAACTCTTCAATCTACAACATATGTAACACACATATAGGCAAAATTACCACTATATTATCATATTTACCCTAAAAACTAGCCATTTTTTAGTTGTTGGGAGGGTTATTTTAGTCATTATAAAGTCATTTATCACTTTACCTAAATACCCCCCGAAACTAACTGTTATATAGTTGTTGGGGAAGGGGGCAGTCTCCAACGGCTAGTCTACAGGCCTGTATGCTGGGCCACGTGCTGGGCCGTGCTAACCCATGGACCATGGGTGGCACGGCCCGCACTGTCGTGCCATGCCTTTCCCAGCCTGCGGACCTGAAACCCCAAACCCGGCACAGCCCATATGATTGTGTCATGCCATGGCACAGCCCGTGAACCATTGAGCCAGGCGGCTCAAAATAGTGCCAGACCGCAGGCAGCACGGCCCCATTTACACCTCTACCTTGATTGCTGAATCTTATTCCATCTCCGGTAATGTTGTGACCTGGGTTCTCCAGTTCAAAAGAAATTTGTTTGATTGGGAATTGGAAGATGCCTTGGGGCTGCTGGTAACTCTCCAAGATCAAAACATTGACATCACTTTGGAAGATGAATGGCGAATGGAAGTGGAGTAGGGATGGGTGCTTTTCAGTCAAATCAATGGCTCTCAAACTAACAGTTCAGATGCAGTGAATCCAAGTAAGCAGATTTGGAATTCAATCAGCCCTTCCAAAGTCAATTTCCTAGTCTGGACTATGGCTCTTAACAAATGTCTGTCCAGAGTTAATCTTGAAAGAAGAGGAATACAGCTGTCAGATGTCTCTTGTGGTCTGTGCGGACTGCAGACTGAATCTACAGATCATCTGTGGGGATTTACTGAGTCATGCCAAAATCTGTCAAAGACCTTTTATGTTGCTGGAAAATTAGGGGTTTGAAGGAAAAAAGGCAAGCTTCATTTGGAGTTTCTTCTCTTTTCTATTTGGGATGTGTGGTTTCCAACCATCAGCTCCAGCAGAAATATTCTCATTGTGGCCAAAGTTTAGAGGAAGTAAGAAAGCCAGGATTATTTGGAGTTGTGTTCCTTTTGCAGTATGTTGGTCTATTTGGAGGGAGAGAAACAGAAGAGTTTTCCAGAACAGGTCAAACAATATAGAATACATGGTAGCTACAGTGTCCAATCTGATACCAGAGTGGATTCTTGGTCTCCCAGATTTTGATCAAGTCTTGTAATGTAGAAGCCTTTTCAGTTTAATATTTTGAGCATGTACTAGAAGTATGTACTTGATGTATTTGGTGTGTCATCTACACAACCAAGGGTGTTAGGATGTAACCTTTTTCTTTTAATGAATTTTTATTGATTCTTCAAAAAAAAAAGACCATCCCTGCAGCTGTTCTCTGGTCCATTTGGACTGAGAGAAATAACATAAAATTCTGTAATAAAAAAAAAAAAAAAATTCCAGATGAGATTGTGCAGAGTGCAGTCAGTAAACTGGTCTCCGGAGTAGCTGTCAATCCAGTTTTCAATCATATGAATGTATTCCAGATTCTTAGGAATCAGTCATTTTGGCGTCTGTTACTGTTGTTGAGATCTGATCTGTCCATATTTGAGCAGACTTCTGTTGTATCTTCTTTCAATTTTCAATAAAACTACCTTACCTTTTCAAAAAAAAAATATATTGGATTCGGTCGGATTGAACCAATATCCAGTCCATTGATAGAATATAAGAATAGAGGTGTCAATGGAACAGGTTTGGGTTGGAACTAATCTAAATTAAAACAAATTTGAATAGATTGGACGATCCAGACATTGAATTGGACCAGTCCAAAATGGTCCAAGGTATTCATTGGAGTGGATTGGACCTGGGTCCATCTGCAATGGACTCCTATTGGACCGGATCAGAGTGGACCAATATCTGACCCATTGACAGCCCTAGGTAGCACCTCTTCCCCTTCAGGAACTTTCATCTTATTACAAAGTAGCCTCTCAATATAGATATTCCCAGTTTACCCCTTTTCTAGCCAAAGAGTCAGCCACACTGTTTGCTGCCCTGTGTCCATGACCAAACTGCTCACTGATCTCTTGCTATAATTAAAGCCTGTCTTAGAGTGCACTTGTGCTGCCATGTTCCTTTTGAGCTGTTACTCAACCAGCTGATTACTACCTTCAAATCTCCTTCAACCTTTGAATTATACAGGTTTACTCTCTTGCAGATTTTAAGCCCTTAAAGAACTGATTTCAGCTCTTCTTCTCCTATAGGCCAGAATAAATAACAATAAAATCAGTTGACATATTTCTTATGCAGCCATCAAAATTAAGTTAAAAGACCTAGAAGTAGGTCTCCACTCCCATACAACTCTGACTTTTAAGGCTAGAGTCAGCTATTACTTGCCAACCCTTATAATATCTTCTTTTGAAAAGGGTTAAAAATCTCCAATGTCCTCACCCAGCTCACCACCATAAATAATACATTCACAATGACTTCCTCATTTATTCTTCTTTCATAAAAATTCTGTTGCGTCGCTCTTCTCAAACCAAACACAGCAGCTGCCCTTAAACACCTCATAGGATTTTCCTGTAGAGAAAAAGGATTTTAAATCAACAGGTGGTGACCGTACAACCCAATAAGGAGAAGTATATTCCCAAACACCAGAAGCAAAAATGCAGAAGATTAGTAGGTGAGGTGTAATCTCCCAAATTGCTTTTCAAAGAAGGCAAGAGGTTGGAGGAACAATTTGGTCTCCCTTTCTATAACATTTCACAATAGTTAACTTTCACATGGTAAACTTCCCAACAAAATGTCCTAATTTTAAAGGGGTAGGCCCCAACCAAAGAGATTTTAAAGGAAAGGGATTGTAAGGCAGAGAAGAGGAAACAAGAGAGAAGGAAGCACAAGAAAATACACCAATTGGAGAAACAGCAGAAATTCAAGAATCAGAACAAGATGTATTGAAAGAAAAGGAGTTTAAGTTAAAAGATCCGTAACTTGATTAATGTCATCCTCCCTAATATCTCTTCTAAGTCCTAAATCCCAAGAAATAGACTCCTCCCCAGAAGCCAAAACTGAAATAAGCTTGGCCTTTATTCATTAATAAAATGTTGTACATTACATTCTCAAAAAAAAATGGAAATGGAATAGAAGGTTGGTTAGCAGTCTTTCAAAGGATTCTGCCTCCACCAAATATCTTCCCACATACAGGACAGCTGTTGTGGAATTCCCATATTCAATAGGTCTTGAAATCATCATCATCATCCAGGACTTATCCCAAATTATAGGTCTTCAAAATATAGCACTATATATCCATTACTGCTCCTAAAGAGCCTCCAATCCCTGATTTCCATGATTACAAAAAGCTGCAACTATCAAAATTCATCTTGATAAGGTTTTGTTGAAAGGAAATTGTAATTAGAGGTGAGGACTAAAAAGGAGGCACAAGAGAACAAACCAGATTTGCATGGGGTCCAAATTCTTTTTTCACTTTGAGAGTCATCCAAGGAAAGACAATTTAAAGATAAGTTTAGAGACATGAACAATTTCATTCTCCCTTAACCGTCTTCTGAAATCCAGGTTCCAATCAAGACCATGTTCTCAAACATAAATGCATTGGGAAACCATATTCTTTGTGGTTTACCAAAGAATATATTCTATGAAAGATATCCTTCAAAGGTTGGTTTCAGTTGGCAAATGAGGACTGTAATCAGTCGAATTCTTGATGTAAATTCAATGAGAAAAAATACCAGAAAAGAAGAAAGAAGAGAGAAGAGAGAGATGAGAGAAAGAGTGTTGGCATATTGAGTTTCCACCCTACTCAACTAATTATAATAGCATCAAAATATAAGACGGAAATTACACAAATGCCCCTACTGCTTACATAAGCAAATAACTAACAAAACTAACATTGCTAACAGCAAATATAAAGCAGCAAATAACTAACAACAGTAGTAGGGGCCACAATAAATAAAATAACAGCACTAATTATTGCTCTACATCTCTACACTCCCCCTCAAGTTGGGAATAGATATTTATCATTCCCAACCTGCATAAATCTGTTTCCAACTTAGTCCTTGTAACTGCCTTGGTGAAGAGATCAATAAGTTGCATATAGGATACAATATATGGAAGACACACTTCTTGAGAGGCAACTCTCTCTCTAATAAAGTGTCAATCCACCTCAATATGTTTAGTTCTACCATGCTGTACCAGATTATAGACAATGTTAATAGCAGCCTCATTATCACAATACAGCATTAGGGGCTTCTCATAAGCAATTCCCAATTCCTCAAACAAGGACCTCAACCATAATGCTTCAGCCACACCATGTGCCATAAATCTGTATTCTACTTCAGCACTGGAACGTGCTACAACATTTTGTTTCTTACTCCTCCAAGAAACATGGTTGCCTCTTGCAAAGGCACAATACCCAGAAGTAGACCTCCTATCATCAACACACCCAGCCCAATCAGCATTTATGTAGACTTTTATCTACATGTGACCATTATTTCTGAAGAGTATGCGTCTTCCTGGACATCTCTTCAGGTAAACAAGGATCCTCTCAACTGCAAAAAGGTGAGTGGTTTTGGGGGAATGCATGTACTACCTAACTACACTGACTGCATAAAAAATGTCTATTCAGGTGAGGCAAAGATAAAGTAGCTTCCTAGCAGCAGTGGGTACCACAATAAATAAAATAACAGTAATATAA